AGACTGCTCTCTAGAGATGTAGAGAAAGAAAGAAAGAAAGAAAGAACGGAAGAGAGAAAGAGAGAGAGAGACAGAGAGAGAGAGAGAGAGAGACAGAGAGAGAGAAAGGAAAGGAAATGTACGCGTACGTAGCGTATTAGTTAGCACCGAGTATCGCTAAGGCGACAAAACGGTTAGCGCCGTGGCGCTAAATCCGCCTTAGCCTTTCATTATCGTCCTCCGCATTCTCTCTACCGGATGGAAGAGTAAAACGTGGAAATCGTCGAGCCGTCTTGTTCGATACGTTGTAACGCGATATAGTCCTTTCGAAGCAAATTCCTCGGGAGCGAAAATTTTTTCGGCGAAATCGAAGAGAGAGAGAGAGAGAGAAAGAGAGAGAGAGAGAGAGAGAGAGAGAAAAAAAGAAAAAAATAAGAGGAAAAAGGAGTGGTCGTGTATCGTACGTTATAGAATTTACTGGAAGATTTTTGGTGATGATACCGGGGAACCTGTGAGATATTCGGAGCTACGTGTTTACGAACCACCCGTGCCGGCGAGCCTACTGCCAAATAATTAGCCTCGATTTAATGGCGATTCCATTTAGTTCAGCGCTCCCGCTTACCGGTCCTATTACCGATAAACACGCTTCTTCTGGGGGATCGTCCTCCTCGACGGTTAGGCGCGGGCGTATATCGCCGACCGGACCACCGCCATCGAGCCAAACCGACCTCTAAACCGTTCTCTTTATTCCCACAAGCGAAATATTCTCCTACCATCTCTCGTTCTTTAATACTTTTACTTTGCCGATTTTCCTCGTAATATTTCCTCGTAACCTACTCGTTAAAAAGCGCATTGCGTCGCAATTTCGTGTGCGGAGATTCTTCTCTCGAGAGAAGTCGCATGTAGGTATGTATCTTTCGAAAGTGAACGGTCGGAAGGAGCAGAGCTCGATTATATCGATGCGCCAAGGTGAGCATCCTCGTTAGAGTTGAGAAACATTTAAGAAAAAAGATGGAAGATTCCTGGCTCGAGCGAATCCTCATTCGGTTATCTACGTAAACGGAAGAAGAGAGAAGCTAATTATCGTTGAACTTTCATCTCTCGATTCTCTTTTTCTTCTCTTTTATAAAACTAAGATCTCGATTATCGTTTTCAACCAGGAAATCGTCGATACGCACTGGATTTTACGAGCCCAACAAAACTTTAAGTTTTAGTAGAGGGTGAGAGAATTTTTGAAAGATACTCGGTATCGGTCCATTCCATTGAAATACAAAGAGACAAAGACCAGGAGAGAGAGAGAGAGAGAGAGAGAGAGAGAGAGAGTGAAACGAAGAGCGTGACGACAGCAACGATAAATTCCTTCCTCCTTTCCTTTCTCTTGGTAGTCCTTTCCACTGAGTTTTTGACGCCCGTGTTCGTCTTATCGCGACACGCGGCACCCCTCAATTAAGAGGTGCTGCTCGTCCACGAATGTTATACCAGTTTTCAGTACCGTCTTCGTCCGGACCACACAGCAGGAGCTACCTGAGAGACTCTGACCTATCGGGCCAGATCGCGCCCATAAAAATTAAACGTCGCCAGATAAATAAACGTCAATCGGGAATTAAGATAGGCGCCGCCGCTAGCGGGTGCTTCTCCATTGCTGCTTTTTCTACGATCCACCCGTTAGGAATGCTCTCTCTCTCTCTCTCTCTCTCTCTCTCTCTCTCTCTCTCTCTCTGTCCAAACGAATAGATAACGCGACATCGAGCTTTAATATATAGCCCGAATTTTGGGCTATGGGAAAAGGACACCCTACGTCCGGATATCTTTCTCTTTCGACGCAGCAGCTTCTTCTTCTTCTTCTTCTTCTTCTTCTACCTGCCAACGCGAGTAATTAATTCGTCGATACGCTTAATCGTTTCAAGCCTTTCGGCTTGAAGCTTAAAGCACCAATTTAAGATCGAAGATACGTTGGATATGGTTATCCTTTGAAAATTCTGATACTTAAATATTTAAAAGATATCGCGCGCTTGTATCGATCTAGAGACTATAGATACGTTTGTATAACATAGGTATCTGAATAAGTAGCCACGTACGACGTACGTTATCGAATAGGTATTCATCGTAATGAGAAAGGTTAGGTACGAAGGTCGAAAAGAGTGCGAGGATAAAATTTATGTGCTTTTAAGGGCCGTTCGAGAGAGGAGCGGATGGAGAAAAGGATAAACGTTTATGTCTCTTTTCCGACGTGTCCCGAGCGGACTAACGGTTAGCTCCAGTGGCGAGACACCATTTGTTCCGTGAATAGCGTTCGAGAGAGAGAGAGAGAGAGAGAGAGACCGGACGACTCGAAAGGGACCTACATAGATATATGTACATATATATATGTATATATATATATATATTTCCTCTCGAGATTCCTACGGTGAGCTGTCCTCGCCTTGTCTCCTTTTTGTGGTTTCTATATCCGCTACTATGGCCTGGTAGATGATTGTTGTTCGACACGACAAGCATTAACGCTTTGAACGATTTTCGAAAAGTCAAATTGCGTACCCAATACTTACGTACCATCGCCATCTACTTCTTTCGAGTACAAACTTTTACGACGAGAACGACGCTTGAGAGATAGCACGCGTGTGGTATAAAAAGATTCGAAACTAAAATAATTTATGCGGCTTTAGGTTTAAGCGGTCGTAAATGGAAGGCTAATATACACATTAGAGGGAAAGTTGCAAATTATTTCGAGAGCACGATATAGGTTCGCCGGAGGAGCCAAGACCCGTCACGGAGAACTTTACGATTTTCCAATGAAGCATATAATCGGACTTTGTCGTCTTTACGGCGTGGCGAGCGTCTTTATGGGGTGAGGCAAGGTCGTAAGCGAAGGGTAAAACGCAAATTAGTTTCTCCGGCCGTCTCGTCGGTCGGTGCTTCGAGTTCGTTCCTTCGATTCGAATTAAAATTTGCTTTATATTCGAGATCGTTATGCGCAATGAACGATAATCCGATATGGCGGTGATCGAAGCCAACGATCGAAGCCGGCGATCGTAATGAATCTATTCGCCTACTAGCGCCTATTCGATTAATAATATCGTTTATTCTCCTTTTTTCTCAATTTACCAAAGCTTATACACTTTTCTAACGTCGACTTTATTAGAACAACAATAATAACATTGAGTCACGATTCTACTTCCCATCCTCCTATTATCCAATTAACGTAGTTCGCCTCGTAACCGCTTGCTTGGCAGATCGTTACTTCTATAATTTAAATTACGTTTAACTCGAAGCCGACAACTAGAAATTTCCACGCGCGATCGAGGCTTAAGCGAGGCTAAATTAATTCGAATCGTTCCATATTACCTACGTACACGGTTCGCATAATAATGCGCGAACAGGTTTAGAACCTAGGAGAAGATCTTTCCTTTGATCCTTATTCGGAGATATATACGTATACTAGGATTCCATACATGCGCACACGCGCTCTCTCTCTCACACACACACACACACACACGCGCGCGCGCGCGCGCGCATGTATAGAAGATGAAAAAAATAAAAATAATAAATATGAAAACGTCGTAAGATCGTCGTGGGGAAGGAGGGGTATGTACTTGTCCGGATACATCTCAATCGGGATCCCTCGTCATCGTCGCTCGAATGCCGATCCACGGGCCGGGGATAGTCGCTCTTAATTCGATCATCGATCGTCCGGCAACGTGAATTCCACGCGCTCGCACATGGCCGCACCAATACCTCGATAGAACGGGAGGCGCGTCCCAAATAATAATGATAATAATGGCTAGGGAAGCTCGTTCCTCTATACTTTCGAGTATCTCGAATTCAAGATATATCGATAGAGATCGATAGAGATCGTCGAGGCTCGATCTATAAGTCGGGACGCGACCCGTTGTCCGCTGAAGCGAAGAGAGAAGGGAGCTCGACTCGGTTCCCTCGACTGGCGACCGGCGACCGGCGACTGGCGAACGGTGCACAACGAACGGCGGCCTTCTCGATCGTCGTTGGCAGTCAGGGCCTTTAATTAAGGGAACATATTGCCACTAATATCCGACGGACAGTGTCAATCTGTCAGGCTACCAAAAAGGCAACGATCTTGATAGCGGGTACCTAGGAGAGCGGCACGGCCTATCGGACACGCTGTCTTCGATTTAGTTGTTCCGCCAGATCACCCGGAATTAATACATTCGACGGTTAACTGAACGAGCGAGCGAGCAGGAATGGAAAGAGAGAGAGAGAGAGAGAGAGAGAGACGACTCCTCCAGACAGCCGTACCATGAAAAGTATCTGTCGAGCTTATCGACGTCTTCTCTCTCTCTCTCTCTCGCTCTCTCTGATAGACGTTGCGTATTTATCTTTCTTCTTAAATATTACCTTCGCTCGAATGAATAACACTTACTTTATATCCGATATCGTTTCCCGTCATAACATTATTACGTCTTCTCGCTAGATATCGAGATCGAGTAATTACGACTGTATTCTACGTTCCAAGGAAGAGGGAAGCAATAAAAACGTAAGATCGTAAAGTAAACAAAAAGATGGAAGAAAAGAAAGAAAGAAAGAAAAAAAGGAAACAGAAAAAAAAAACTTTCTATCGAGCGAAGGAGACCGTGTCGAAACTTAAACGGACATAATCGCGAGTGACGAGGAGCGCAAGGTCGTGGGTCCGCGGTAGAAAGGGTTCCTCGGTGGCCCTTCGGAGACCCTTTGGAGGCCCAACCGCTTTCAGGAGCGAAAAAGGTGGGCGCGCACGACAATGCACACACACTGCCGGCAGATTACAGGGCGCTTCTCCTCTTCGACATTGCCCGAACCGGATGTCGATTATACACTCGCCCTTCTCCAAGCCGATTCGTTACGATTAAATGCCGCTTCTACTACGGGCACACACCTCTCAAAGCACCTCTCTTATCCTCGAGTTTGATCGACGAACGTGCCGCTATTGCTTACGAATTAATCTCGTATCGTCCTTCCCAAATTAATCCAAAATACTCAAATCCGTAATAACCATTACTTTATCGCCTTACCGCGTAAAAGAATTTTTCTCAGAGATCGCCGTATCGTCGTACAATTCCATCTGCGATTTCTAAACTGGTGTTGACATTCTCTCGTACCGACTTGAACGCCTTTTGCGATCTCCTTCAATAAGGACGGCTCCTTTCGGCAAATGTCGGCGAGCTTTCCTTTCAATCTTCTCGTTTTCTTGCAAACTAACATCGGATCCATCACCATCTGACTTCCTACCGTCCTGAAAGTAAAGAAGATATTTTTTTCAACGAGTTATTTCTTTCGACCGAGGACGAATCATTCTGAGAACATACGAGTCGTAGCTCTTACGTTAGAATGATCGTAATCGTTTGTTTATAGTTTGGTAACCCTCGATACGACGGTTCATGGACTTTGAATGTAAACATTCGGCTCGGTTGAAAAACGACGTGACCGTCCCCGGATTATTTACTCTTATATATCTTCGAAACGTTTATCGATAAGGATCGATGGTAAGAGCAAAGCTTTTTCATCTCCTTCTTATTAATAGGAAAAGAAAAATTTTAGAACTCGTGGTTAACGCGGAAGAGAGTGATTTTCCTCGAACAATAATTTTCCACTCTGTCCCAACTGAATTCGTAGGAACGTACACGATGTTTGCGCATAATCGCGATTACATTGACAAATCGCGATCGAAATTATAAATGCATTCCGCAAGAGGAGAAATAAGGAAGATAAAGTGGAGAGAACGAGAGATGAACGATATATATTTTCGAGAGGAGCTACGAACGTTGAGAGACGCGAAGAGAGTTTGCGCTATTTGTTCGGCTGGTGAGCGGCAGAGAGAGAGAGAGAGAGAGAGAGAGAGACGAAAGATGCCGAGAGTCGGAATAATTTACGGAAGCCACAAATCCCTCGACGTGACATTCGCTAAGTTGCCGGTTATTTAGCCTGGCCATATCTTTCCTGCCCGATGAAGAAAAAGATAGAGTTACGCGCTCGAGATTAAGCTTCGAAATCTTCTCGTCCTCTCTCTCTCTCTCTCTCTCTTGGAAAATTCAAAGAATTTATCAAGGGCCGGGCGCAAACGCAAGATTTCGAGGTTCTTGCCGATGAGAGTCCGATGATGGTTCTTAGATCAAAAAGTAGTCGGAAAAAGTAGAAAAGTAATTAACGACCGGCGATGACCGTGGGTATCGCGACGCTTTCTCGTTTCATTCCTAAAGACGCGAACAACTCGCGTTGGCAAAAAAAGCGAAGCAAGAAGGAAGATTCTTCGAGACGACACGATCGTTGAAGGATCATTGCGTATAATTTCGATCTTCTCGGAGAAAACGCGAAAGTCTCGCCGGTAAACGAGCATTCCTATCGCTCGTAATTTCTTCTCCGTCTCCGGAGAATTCTTTCCGATCTCGAACGACAAAGTCCCTTTGCTGTTCTACGTCGACACCGTTAACGATCGCGAGAGCCGAAGCAAACGCGCGAGCGAATCGCGAAGAGAGACGACGGGGGAAAAAGAAATGAATGCCGGACGACGATTATTACCAAGGTGGACGATCGGGCGGACACTCGAATCGACTCGAAGACGAACGGTACGACGACATTACGACGATTAAAAATTAGCGCGAGCGATTACTACGGGGTATTTACTACGGACAATGTAACGACTAGAATCTGGGCTTGTGAGGGGGGGGGGAGGGATTACGGGGGAACGATAGCGTTATGAAGAAGAAGAAAAATAGGAGAGTATTTAAAGTGAAACTCGAAAAAGAGAGAAAGATTGCGAGGTGGAAAGGAGGGAGGATAAGAGAAAGAAAGAAAGAAAGAAAGAAAAAAAGGAAAAGAGAAGAAGAAGAAGAGAAGAAGAAATAATGCTTCTCTTTGGAAAAGAGAAGATAGAGAGAAGAGACGTTCTCGAAGTCGACCTTCGTTACGAAACGTTAATTAAGATCATTAGTTCTGCGTCGGTAGGATGCCGGGTCGCGTACACGACGGACTCTCGGGAATGCAACGACCTTAATGGCAATAATTCCGTTAAGGACGGTTGCTCGCTCGTGTTCGCGTTGCGGCACGGCTCGTCTCGAGGTCGCTCCCGAGATATCGAGAGCCCTACGAGTACGTACCAGAGGAGGAAGAAGGAGACGACGACGACGACGACGACGACGACGACGAAGCAGAAGCAGAAGCAGAAGAAGAAGAAGAAGAAGAAGAAGAGAAGGAGGAGGAGGAAGAAGAAGAAGAAGAAGAAGAAGAAGAAGAAGAAGAAGAAGAAGTAGAAGGAACGCCAAGCAGAGTCGAGCCGAGTCGCGTAAATGCGACGTGAGAGAAGGGGACGAGTGACATCGTCATTTGGGAGGAGGATTCCTATCGCGAGCAACGACCATAACCATGAGCGCAAGAACGTCGAATAGCATTCGTGCGACTAGGAAAACGGCAAAATTTTCCACTCTCGAGATCTTTCTCGACTCATCGATATTTCCGGCGGTGATCTAGCGACTCGGCTGTTCACGCTCGCGCTTTCTTAGAATCGTCTATGCGGACTATTTCGCGCCGAGCATCAATCTGCCTAGGAATAGGAATCCAGCAGTATCGTACTCGACGGCCGCTAGAACGATGCCAAGAACGAGACGAGAGGGGTCTCTCTCCCTCTCTCTACCTCCCCTCCACCCGCCCCCCTGCCCTTCCCCCCTTCCTTATCCTATAATCAAGCGAAAGCTCTTTGCGATCCAGGCGATTCGGGATTCGAGTAAACGCGAAGGAAACGGTTTGGCGCTTTAACCGAGTAGTGGCTAACATCCCTTTCACGGAGGGATAATAAAATGACGACGTTATCGCAAACACGTCGCGTTTGACGACCATCCTGGTTATGTCAGCGCTTCTCCACGCGCGTACTATTAATAAACGCGAGGAAAGCTTTAATGGGACTGAAAAGTGTCTGGACGAGTTGCCTACTCCGCGCATACAGAACGTGCGCGACTCTCCCTATGAAATCGATTAGGCCGTTTACGATTCGCTTTTACGACCGTGAGACTCTTAAGATCCTACCGGTAAACGTTTTCCAAGTTTCACGCTTGAGTCGAAACATTTTACCTCTTCCTTGAAATTCGACTTTCATTTCCCTCGATAAAGCTATCAAAATTTATCCATCGACTTGGACGAACACTTGTGTATCTTTAAACCAGCGCCAGAAGGCACCTCTTCCGAGAACGTAGGCGATGCTCGCTCGTTCGAAACTTCTTCGATATCTAAACGAACGACAATCGAATATGATATTACTCGATCGTCTCTCGCGTTATAATTCCCTCCTCCGAAAGAGGTGGAAGGAAAGGAATGGATAAAAAAAGAATGTAGAGTGGTAGTAGGTGATGGAGAAGAAGAAGAAGACGAAGAAGAAGGAGAATAAGAGCGAGCTCTCGTCTTTGCGTCGTGGACGGTGGAGGCAAGAAAAGGAACTCGGGGATGGATACGTCGTCGTCGCGAACGAAAAGCGTGGAGAGGCCGGTTAGGGCGGCCGACTTATTTATTGCCTCATTAGACGCACTCACTTTGCTCGAAGGCAGCTCCACGCTGTCTGCTCGGATAGACAGTGACGAGAGCAGCGTAGCTGCTGCCGCTGCTGCTGCCGCTGCTGCTACTCGCTCGCTAGCTCGGCGTGTGTGCTCTCGATGAACATGAGAGAGGAGAGGACAGCCGGGACGGCCAGAGAAAGAGAGTAGAGAGGAGAAAAAAAAGAAGGATCCGTTGCGCCTGCTCTTCGGTTCGGCCGAAAGGATGTGCACTTTTCTCTCTCTCTTTCTCTCTCTCTCTCTCTCTCTCTCTCTCTCTCTCTCTCTCTCTCTCTCTCTCTCTCTCTCTCTCTCTGGCCCTTTCGCTCCTTCCGCGGCTGGAAAGAGGGAAGAGTCGTTTGGTCCAGCGAAATTCTTCGAATATCTCCCACCGCAACGAACGAGACTCTCGAGGATAAGAAGAAACGACGACGGAAGTCGGGAACCTTGCGATCAAGGACGCTGGATCGGAGTATTCACCTCCGCCTTTCTTTCGTTCATCCTAAAGCTTTTTTCTCCCCGATTAAAGGGCAAACGTACGATGAACGTTTACCACCCACCGACATAACGAGAAGCCGACGATGACGAAAGGTAAACGAATAAGAAGAACTCGAGGCACCTTCGTTTTGGCGCTGCCACTTTACGACGATGGATCTACCTCGTGTGCCCTCAGCGCTTCTTTTTTTTCGTCGGCGACGGCGGCGTCGCCGTCGTCGCCGCCGCCGTCGCCGTCGGAAGCAACAAGAGAATGATTTAGATTAAGCGCACGTATTTAGCAACCAAGAACTGTTGTGACTTTGGACTTCCTCTCACTCCGGGACTCTACTCGACTTTCTCGTATTTTCTCTTTTCGTCGAGAGGAAAGAATCGAAAATGCCGAGCGGTGCAGCATTCGTTACGTATAAAACGCTCGGTCGTTCGTTCACGGAATGTCAGTAGAAGGTAGAAAGAACGAAAGAGAAAGAGAGAGAAAGAGGCGTAAAAACGCGAGTGCGACAAGAGGAGGGTGAGGTGAGGCGGGAATGTCTCGAACAAATTGGTGGCAAGGGTCAGGCCACGGCAGGCCCGCCCGGCTCGCTCCTTGGTTTCTTTCGGAATCTCGAGGAATCCCTTTTTCTTCTTCTTCTTCTTCTTCCTCCTCCTTCTCTTCTCGTACTTCTTCTCGTACTTCTTCTTCTCGTCGGACTCGACTCGCGAAAACTCGAAATCGCTTCTACGCTCTAAGGAGAACGGAACGTCGTTCTTACGAGAAACGACGATCCGGCGTAGCGAGCAGCAAAGCGCTCGGCCATAAATCCTTCCGCTTATTTCGAGCGCACACGAGAGACGGGTAGGTACTCGACGGCGACCGATGAAAAAGAGGGACCAGAGAGGGATGGATGAAAATCTCTTCATCGAGCGTGTTTCCTCGTACCAGCCGAACAATTATTCCTGGCACGTAACGATAATGAAACCGATAATTGGAAGGAGCTCGATAAAATTAGGATAATCCACGATAGAAGTGGAGTTCTTAAAATTCCATACATAGCAGGTGTACGATACACGCGCCGTCGAAACAATTTTAAATTCTTCTCTCTCTCTCTCTCTCTCATTCCTCATGCTCCAAACATTCCACGAAAATCGATCGTCCTATCGAACGAGCCCGCCCAAAACTAGGATGTTCTACACTATGACCGGAGTGGTACACTTTTGCGATATTTCTCGCTGGAACTCGTTGGAAAAGAAAATCGAGACGAGAACCAAGACGAGGGAAGAGATTTCTTCGTTAGCGAGAGAGAGAGAGAGAGAGAGAGAGAGAGAGAGAGAGCAATGAAGGGCCGAAAGCAGAAAATTGAAAAAAAGCATCGAGCACTAACTCACGCCTCGCATAAAGTCGCATTAGTACCGTACCATTGGCGCGGCAAAACCGTGACCGATTGGTCACCCCGAGGGGGTTAACTCCCGGTAAATCATTCGTAGCCATTGTGGTGGCTCGTGAGAGAACGAGAGGAAAAGAATGGCCGAAAAAAGAAAGAGCACGGAGAAAGTCAAGTGCTAGAGTGCACGAGGTAAGGAATAAAAGTTAAAAGAACGCGAAAGGTAAGGAGCTCGTAGGCGATACTCGGTATCGCGTAGAAAGGAGACGGCACGAGATGGAACGCTTCGACGCTCATTATTGCGGAAAGCGTAAAGGATTGGGATTTGAGAAGAATCTCGTTCGTTACTCTCTCTTTCTCTCTCTCTCTCTCTCTCTCTCTCTTGACTGGAAGTAGAGAGGAACGAGAAAACGATATATTTATGGAGCGGCGAAGGGAGTAGACGACGTGACCGTGAACGATCGAGGGTTCGTGCACTATATTTAATACGACACGCGAGAAGAGAAAAGTCTTTCTTACGAAAATCGATCGTCCAAAGAAGAGAAAGAGAAAGAGAAAAAGGAGGAGGAGGAGGAGGAGGAGGAGGAGGAGGAGGTGGAGGAGGAAGGCTCGTCGTTCTCTCTTTACGATCGCGCGCGCATCAACTCGCGAAAGAAAGAGTACGATGCGCAGGTGAGAGGGTATAAAAAAAGAAAAAGAGAGAGAGAGAGAGAGAGAGAGAGAGAAGGGGGAGCATCGAGTTGTCCAACCAGCGAGAACGTAGTCGCGGACTGCCCACCGCGGCTCATTGGCCGACTTGTCGAGTGCGAGCTCGACCGAACGCTATCGCTTTATCGCTCGTCGACAACCGAATCTCGGCTATTACGATTCTTCGTTGTTCCTTTTGTCTTTCGAAGAAAAGAGAAAGTAAGTGTATCCGTGAGACGATACCAAAGGCCAATCGAAGGAGAGCCACGAGATTCGAGCTTGAAAGTTTGTTCCCGTCTTCTAAAGAGAAGAGTCTGGAACTTTGAAATGAATTCTTTATAAACAACGTTTGGGAAGAATCGAAGCCACTTTAAAGATCGCTCCCAGTAGACCGACTATGCTCTTTCTCTCTCTCTCTCTCTCTCTCTCTCTCTCTCTCTTTCTTATTCTCGTCTAAGAGAGCTAAACGCCGTAAAATCGAGGCAAGAAAAACGCTGCGAGTGGACGAGAAGAGAGCGAGAGGCGGAGGAGGAGGACTTGAAAGGAAGGCAAGGAAGAAACGTGGAACGAAGCTCGTGTATTCCCAGTCCTCCGTGTCCTCGCGTTTCTCCGGATACCACCGAGCAAGCGAGCGAGCAAAAGAGAGAGAGAGAGAGAGCGGGGGGAGGGGGAGGTAGAGAGAGAGAAAGAGAAACGTACGGGCAAGGGCAGAAAGAAAGGGAAAGAGAGAAGGAATATCCGCGAAGTCGAGAGGAAGAAAGAGAAGAGAAACCTGCCGACTTACAAATTATACGCGCTCAACGAGATTTACGGGTGACGCTTTGAGCGAGACCATTGTCCATCCTCGCTCACTTCTTTGCCTCTTTACTCCTCCACTCTTGGCCGTCTTTGTCCACGCGAGGGGATCCTTCGTTCCCGAACGTCTTTCTACGCTTTCGTCCCTCTTGTCCTTTCGAACGCGCTAGCGAGTGAACGAGATAGAGTGAGAGTGAGAGAGAGAGAGAGAGAGAGAAAGGGGGTAGTATTCGTCGCGAAAAAAGCGGAGAATGCCGATCGACGAAAGAGAATCCGGTTCCGATCGGAGTAATCGGGCCCTCGCGTCCCGCGGTTCTCGTGAGAAGGACGTTACTTGCGACTCGATGACGGACGATCTACGATTTACGATCTCGACGTCTTGCCCCTTCTCTCTCGAGTCCTCGACGAGTGTGCCCCGAGTGCAAAAATTGACAAAACTCTCGGGAAGGCAAATACGATCGTGAAAATCTTAGGAACCTTCCGACGTACCTTCCGACGGATCTTTCAAGCGTACGCGTACGAGAAAATACGCCTTAGAGATAGGCTTTGAGCGTCGTAACGTGAAAGAAAATTCCCCGGGCGACCGTTAAATACCTGTTATCAAAACAAACGGTCGACCTCCTAATATATTTATCAAACAAGCACCGGCGACGGAGACGGCTGCGACGGCGAGCACATTGCGACGAGTGAAACAGGTAAGCGAAGCGGGCTCGGTTAACGAGGTGCGGCTGTACAACACATCGACGAAGCGCAGAAATCCCCTTTAAATCGTAAACCAATATTTGAGGGGCCTTTAAAGGCCCCTCGAAGTACCTTTCGCCCTTTACGAGCGCGACGCGCGACGAACCTACTCAAGGTCGCGTACCTTCCTTTCGTACTCGAAAGATCTCGATCCTCCTGCTTCTTCTTCCTATGAACATTCTTTCCCATTACTTTACGACATAAACTATTAATCAAAAATTAGCAGGAACGTTCGAATGAACTTCTCGAGAGAGGAAGAGAGGGGACTCAACACGGACGTGGGGGCCGTGAGACAGAAGATGACAATTCATCTCCGCATGCTGAAATCTCTCTCTCTCTCTCTCTCTCACTCTCTCTCTCTCTCTCTCTCTCTCTCCCGGGTGGCAATTACGCGATAAGGTTCTATCGTCGTGTAAACATTTACATACCAAAGTGGAGTACACAGCGTCTACTCCGAGCTACCGAGTAATTTAACGTTTCCCAACGTACGACTCTCTCTCTTTCCATCACGCGAGAACGGCGTAGAACGCGATACGCCTTTCTTTAATGTTTTTTTCCCCATTTGCCCCATTTGCGAATGACATACCTTTGCTAAATAAAGAAGAAGAATTTGCAGCGAAAAGGAACGAGTAATCTACCAAAGTATGTTGATAAATCACCTTAATGAATAATTCATTGGCGAAGGCGTAAATCTTTGACGTTCCGATGGAAGCGAACCGCGACCAACGACCACGAATAAATATCTACTTTCGATCGTCTCACGGTCGTAGATCTCGTTGATACGCGCAATCGAGAAAGGATTTACTGCCCCGTTAATCGTTTTACACGAGCGTAATGCGTCGGTAATTGATAAGCCAGATGTCACGCCTGAAAACTCGAGCATTTAGCAATGCGCCGTTGCTAAAGGCGATCATCTTTCACGTTATTACATCGTAAATAGAATTTTATATAATCGAGTAGGCCCTTTCACGAGTTCGTTTCACGAGTTCGTGAGTTGGGTTCGATTATTGGGATTTGACGGGCCGTATTTTTCGTAGGGAAAATTCGTCGAGGTAGAACAATTTGACGGAAGAAAGGAGAGAAAGTAAATCGCATAAGAGGGAGCAGCAGAGGGAGCGAAGCAAGATCGAGAAAAGATAAGGGTCTACGAGAGCGAGATTCCAGTCAAAACTCGTCGCATCGCGCCTAGCTCTTGTGTCTGTCGTTAAGTCGTCAAGGTTAGTGGCCACTTAAAGGAAGGAAGGAAAAGAAGAGTTTCCCTACTTTTTTCTTTCTTTCTTTTTCTTTTTTCTTCTTTTTCTCTTTTTTTCTTTCTTCTTTCTCCTCTCTTTTTTCTCTTCTTTGTGTTTTTTCTCTTTTTCTTTCTTCTTTATACCTAACTCTCTGTGTAAAGCGTAGGAAACGCTACCAGATACCAAGCCCGTAACACACACGAGCGTTGTTTGTTTGAACCCTCCTTTTTATGGTCGTCACGTGTCGCGGCGCTAAGGACACTCTTGGTACTGTTTTACACCTTTAGCTCTTTATCTCTCGCCTTTCGAACGTCACGGATGTCAACGCGAACGCTTTCCTTACGGATAACGGTTTGACAATGAAACGCGATAACCCCGTTTATCAAAGAGTACTCCTCTTAAGCGACTTTAACGTCGTCGTTAGAGCTTCTTCGATACTCGAGGGGAACCAGAGAGACGCGCGAGCCTCTCTCTTGGAGGATTGTTTTTTTCTTTATCTTTATTTCAGAGAAAAGAAACGGAAGGACTTACCAAAACGATCCGGTGGTAATCGGGGTGACGAGGAGGAGGTAGATCACCAGGAGAACGGGGCTCATCTCCGTCCCCTCTGGCCCTCTTTTCAAACTCCTTGGGTTCTTTGGCGGGCACCAATTCCCTTCGAAGGAATAGCGAGCACCTTTCACCGTCGAACGCGATCTCGAACACTCCTCGGCGAACTTTCCAATTCTATTTGTGACTTTTTCTTTTTTTCTTCATACGACGACGAAAGCTCTCAAGTTGAAATCAGCAAGTCGCTTCGATGCTCTTTTCTCTGACTTCGCGGTCGAAAAGAAGTATAGAAAGGACGGAAAGACTACTAAGTCGAGAGAGACGGAAAAGGACGAAAGCTTCATGACGGGATCCCCCTCTCTTTTCGTTTATCCCCGCGAACGAAACGATCCGTCTCCGTTCGGAAGACGCGGATCTTCCGGATCGCGAGAAGGATCGATTCGCGCGATTCGGAGAACGATCCGGAAGAAGTTGGACTTCCGGTCTCGTGGAAGTCACTTGCCCTCTCTCCTCTCGTATCCCCACCCTACTCGAGGAAGGACTCGTTTCTCTTCCTTCGCACCCTCCCTCTGCGTCGTGCTCTCTCTCTCTCTCTCTCTCTCTCTCTGTCTCTCTGTCTCTCTCTCTCTCTCTCTCTCTCTCTCTCTCTCTCTCTCTCTGTTTCTGGCTCTCCCAAAGACACCGGCCACCGCGAAGAGCGCGAGAAGAGGCAGGCAGTCGTAGTAAAACGGATCGTAATAAAACGGTCTTTTCTTCCGGCGGGGACAAAAACGCGTCGCGTTCCTGCCAGAACTACGTCACCACGATCTTTGAGTGTTGCCTTACCCCCACCAACCGAGTTCTGGGGAGTAGAGAAGAGTTGCCCCCACCATTCGTCCAACTTCTTCCTCCTCCACCTCCTCTTCCTCCTCCTCCTCTTCCTTCTTCTTTCTCCTCCGCTTCTTCTTCCTAGCCTTCTTCCCCAGAAGACACGCCGCCACCATCGCCACGGCCACCATCGTCACGACGACGCAGAAGAAGAACAGTGCGGAAGAAGAGAGGCAACGAAACCGATCGTACGTTTGGATTTTTTTTCGAAAACGCGATCGAGAGTAAGAGAGAATCGCCACTTTTCGAAATAAAATTTATACAAAATCGAAAGAAAAATCGGGCAAAAGGATGGAACGGGTCAGATACGACGACGGCACGTGCATCGTACGTGTTCTTACGGAGATGGAAAGACGCGCATTTACCGCTGGAAGGAGAGAGGGGAAAAAAGAACGAGTGAGAGAGAGAAAGAGGGAGAGGGAGAGGGAGAGGGGGGGGAGAGGGAGAGAGAGAGAGAGAGAGAGAGAGAGAGAGAGAGAGAGAGAGAGAGAGGAGCGCGCGATCGCTCTCGGTGCGAGACTGTTCCGAGCTACGAAGAAGAGAGAGGCAGGTGAGCGCCGCGCGGCGGCGTCGAGCCGCAACCGAATCACGTACCGTACCACGGCGCACCGCACACGATCTCTTCCCCTCTCGACGACATCAGCCCAATGTCCTTTTCTCGAAAATAGAAAAGATTCTGCGATAGCCAAAATCTAACTGACGGAGAAAGTAGGCCGGTTACTCGTCAGACTCATTTCCCCTTCCAATCGAAAATTCATCTTTTTTAAATTCATCGCGCGGCTACGAAGAAAATAGAAAATGACAACGGTAATAAGCGGTCGTGGTAAAAGTGGTATATATGATTATAAGCGTACATAAAGAAAAAGAAGCGATAATAGCGACGATGAAAGAGAATAAGGAATAAGAGATATGTTTCGTCGAGAGTCGTCCTGGCTAGGGAGGTTCCAGCGGGGGGGCCGCATTAAAGCTCATTTAGCAGCGGGTTCCTTTCTTCGGGCGCCCCCCGAGAGAGGAGACCTCGACCGACCGTACCCCGACCGCGGGATCGCGGCGAAGCTCTCGATCTCTTTCTCGATTCCGCGAGACGTAAGAGAAATTTAGCGGTAAGAGGGATGACGAGGTATACGACAGGGATGCCATGGACGACGAATCGTATTGCCGACTCGCGCGACCGACAGAAACACGGAATAGCCAGTAATTTATGGGTGAGACTAATTACCGGGGAATGCAGCTCCTCCGACTCTTCTCCGTTCCCTGGTCCGAGAGAGTTTGCCAGACCAGTTTTCAGAGACGAGGAGATGGAACTATTCCAAGCCCACTACACCATTCTTTCCGAGATCCCTAAGCCCTCTTTTTCTCTCCTCTCCTCTCCTCTCCCACATACTTTTTAAAGTTTCTCTCCGTGACTTTTTCCTTAACGCGCGTTTACTCTCATCCGTTACTCTCGTCTAGTTCGTGCTAGGAATTTCGAATTGCGACCTATCCAACGAGAATCGGTCATCGCGAGAAGGAAGAGAGATAATGGAAGGAGGAAGAAAGCGGGCGTGTTCCCACGCGGCGTCCCACAGACGGAATGGGAAGGGTGTTGGAACAATACCCGACATCGACGTCCCTCATTTCGACATTAGCCTGAGCAAGCAATTTCGAGCGAGCTCGATGGATCTGCTACCTCGATTCTTCTTCGTTAAATGCCATTATACGTTTCACTCGAACACCCGGTCGCCGCATGAGTCGTGAATTCCTGAGAACCTGCTCGAACCTGCAGCCACCGCCGCGGCGGCCTTCTTCGCTCCTCCTACTATCCGAACCTACGCGCTTCGGACAGACTCGACGGACGCAACAACGCGCGGTGTGCTATCGACTTTGCTCGTCTCCGCGAAATAGCGCGATGATATGCCGCGCCTTGGTTCTCTCTCGCTCTCGCTCTCGCTCTCGCTCGCTCGCTCCCTCCCGCCCGCCCTCTCGAATCTCCTTGACCCTGCGCCGCTACGAATCCACGGAGGAACGCCGTAAAGGAACGGCGAGGGGGGCCAGGGGAAGGGGTAGGGGGAGGGGAGGGGAGGGGAGGGGTCCGTGCGGACGAACGGTCGAACAGAAAGAAGGGGGGGACGGCGCTTTTTGCGAGGGATCTCGCGAGGCAAGGCCGTCGTCTCGCGAAGCGAAGCGCGGCCTGCAACTCGTGACCGAGTAGCCGAAAATCCTGCCGGTTGGGACCGAGGCCGTGTCATCGGTCCCACGACGAAGAAAGAACGACGCTCCTCCAAGATGGAGCCCTTTTTCTACCGGGCCTTTCGTCTTGACGTTTCCTCGATTTATTACGCCTCCTCTCGTCATCCACCTTACGATATACTCGAGGAATTTTGCATTCGTCTATCGTCGATGTTGTAAACGGACGATGCATTCCATCGAAAGAGGCTATCTCGGAGGAGCCAACCGGCCAGAGACATCGGAGACAGAAACTCGTTCGAGACGTCAAACTTTTTGTCCCGCCGAAAGATCTCGTCCGATCGTCTCGAAAATACCTAAATTGAGAGTCTCTCTCGGAGGTTTCGAACTTTGTTCGGGGAATAAGCGAAAGAAGAAGGATGGACATAGGTAACGGTGCTCTTAACCGTAGCGAATATCGAAATACGATGGTGCAATTTTCACGGATGGTCGAGAAAACAGCAAGTTCTATCGTCTATTTCTCCCCAATTATCCGAAGGCGATGCTCCTCTCCGGAGGTTTCGAAATTACGGAGGCAACGTCGTTAATTCGACGGGAGATACCGATCGGTCTAAGCGACGACGTTCTACGGCAATACGGGCAGAAGCTTGCCTGCCGTTTCTACGGTTAATAAGCGCGGCAAATCCGAACTGATCCCGAACCTCTCTCTCTCTCTCTCTCTCTCTCTCTCTCTCGAACATTCGCAATTCTGCTTTTGCGATCAAAGTGAGTAAACGGATGCCCGAGTAAACGCGCCGTTGCAATTACACGCCAGTTACGAGCTGGCCTTAAGACGATTCACACGGCGCATTCTCTTTCTTTCTTCCTCCGCTCGTTCGTTCGTTCGTTCGTTCGTTCGTTCGTTCGTTCGTTCGTTCGTTCGTTCGTTCGCTGCGCGTCTGCTGCACTCGTCTTTCTCTAGCGAGTTTCCACAATGGTAATTACGAGACAGTACGCTCGTAAATTTCACGTAGGCTAAACGTAGGCACACCGCGTACACCGCGCGCGCTGCGTGGCTACTTTCTATTTCCCATAAGATCCAACCATATAGGAGACGTCGATATGTTTCGCCATACCAACGGATCGAGAATCGAAGAAAAGGGTAAGGAGGCTAACCGGCCGAGCCGATCGAGTTAGACCCCTCGCGTTCTCCACTTGTCGTCCTCGGCGCGTCGTCGCCGTTTCTCCTCTCTTTCTCGATTATTACTGCCACGATTCCCGATCTTACAGGATCTTGCATAAGTGCGAGCCCATGCGTGTCTCTCGAGCAGCAGCGTTCGGAATCGCTTTCGTGAAATAAATCGGTGCCACGGTGCAGCAGGTTACGACAGGGAGAACCCGAACGAGAAGAATGCTTCCCGTGGATAAATAACGGCCTTTCGCGTTACGTCGTCTCTATCAACTTTTTCCATCGATCAAGAAACGTTCCTTTTTGCATCGACCTGTACCAAGTACGCTTTAAGTTTCTCCTCTACGTATTATTGCGTCTCTCTGTCGTCCCGTCGCCCCTTCGTCCTTTTTTTCGAGAAAGAAGAAGGAACGGTACACGATCGCGACTTTACGTCGACGCTATGACCGGACTGCGTCGTTGTTGTCGTTGTTGTCGAGAAACGGCCGGATTCCGTCGTGGTTCGTAAAGTTCACACAGCTTTTAGCGAGATGGATCGTCTTAGGAGCGGCGAACGATGTTAACGAAAGGGGAAAGGTGACCGTGCGCTCGGAATACGTCGTGAAAAGGACGAAAGGACAAGCCGAGTATGGTGCATTATGCGAGTTAGCATTGCACCGTGCCGACTTTACGACGACTTCCACGTTCTCCGGCGACTCCGCCGATATGGAGAACGTACACGCGTGATATTACAATGGGAATGGAGAAAACGAAACGAGAGGGTCGTGCTTGTAAATAGCGCTATTATCCTACGGCACGGTTCGTGAGCGAGAAAAATAGAGAAAATACGAGTACTCGATATCCTCTAGAAATGTATCGAATAATTCGAAACGTTAACAACTGTCGAGAGCGAAGCTATTAATATCTCCTTTTTTTTCTTTTTTCCTCTCTTCGCTAACCTCTCGTAATATTGTGCGAGAGAAAGCACAATAAAGATATAGTCGCGATAGTAAAGTCGAGTAGCTCTATTCGAGTAGTTCGATTATCGCTCCTTCTTTTTCTTTTTGTTTCTTTTGTCTTTCTTTCTTTCTTGTTTTCCTTTTTATTCTTTTTTTTTTTTTTTTTTTTTATTTTTTTTTTTTCTTTTAAATCGATCAATTGATTCGGTCAAAGTTACGTAGAGAAGCGTGCTCGAGAGGAACGGAGGTGGAGGCAGAGGTAGCACCAAGTCGAGCCAGAGAGGTAGATTCGAAAGGAGTACGGTGGCGCGGTACCACGGTATAATAACAGACCGCCACGGGCCGGGCTAGCTGATGACTTCATTGAACTCGGCTGCTGCCCCAGGCTTCGTGAGCCCGGGTCCCGAAGCCCGGGACCTCCCTGAAACCGCCTCAAATTATAACGCCGCCCTGGACCCAGACCCGCTTCTGATGGGCTCGAGAAAAGAAGACGAAATCTCTGCCTTTTCATTTTTAACGATTTTAGCGATTTTAGCAAACGCCTTTCTTCTCTCTCTCTCTCTCTCTCTCTCTCTCTCTCTCTCTCTCTCTCTCTCTCTCTCTTTCTCTTGCTCTTCCTCTTCGTCTACTTCGTCTTTTCACGTTTGGTAATTCGGAGCTTATAGATCGACGATAAGACTAAGTGCGTAGACAAGATCGTATAACGACTAGAACGATTGGAATCGAAAAAATGTCACAACCAACGGCCGGGATTTACGATAAAAATAATAATAAAAAAAAAAAAAAAAAAGGTCCTGAGAAAGGTATCTCGGTCGAAGCCAAGAGTCTACGTAACGTAGAAAACGAGCTAAGGTAGTCGGTCATATCGTTGAAAATTCCTAAAGCTATTGCCGGTATGGCATTAGTGGCGATAACAAAACCGATAAGGATACGCGTTTGGGGACGAGGAGAAGGAAAGGGCGGGCCGATCGCGGTGTACTATGCGGAAGTAACGATTAGGACCGTAAAGCGATTGGAACTCTGAAGAAAAGGTGAGTAAACACAGGCAGGTTCTTTCTTCGCGACAGGTTGAAAGCCGATGGTTTCTCGACGAACGGAAAGATAAGCTTGCCAAGATACCTTATGTGCGCCT